GATGTTCTGTAGTGCAGGCTTTTGAACTGTAAATTCTTTTAACTTTTGTGTATCATGGAAGGTTTTTATTTTGTCATCAGTGTAAAGCTTAATTTTACTGGATATAAGATTCTTGGTTGGTATCCATTTTCTTTCAGAGCTTGGTATATGTTGTTCCAGGATTTTGTAGCTTTTAGGGTCTGGGTTGAAAGATCCGCTGATAACCTATTTGGCTTCCCCTTGTATGTAATCTAATTCCTTCTCTTGTGGCTTTTAAAATTCTCTCCTTATTCTGTATGCTAGGCATTTTCATTATAAGGTGCCTTGGTGTGGAGCTGTTGTGATTTTGTACATTTGGCATCCTGTAAGCCTCTTGTATTTGGTTTTCTAATTCATTCTTCATGTTTGGAAAATTTTCTGCTATTATTTCATTGAAGAGATTGTTCATTCTTTTAGTTAGGAACTCTATATCTTCCTCTAACCCAATAACTCTTAAATTTGGTCTTTTTATGTTGTTTCATAGTTCAAATATTCTGCTCATGGTTTCTTTCCATCTTCATTGTGTGATCTACATTTTTTTCAAGATTATATATTTTGTCTTCATTGTCTGAGGTCCTGTCTTCCACATGGTCTAATCCGTTTGTGATGCTTTCTATTGAGCTTTTAATTTGGTTTATTGTTTCTTTCATTTCAAGAATTTCTGTTCATTTTTTTTCAGAACCTCTATCTCCTAAATGAAGTAATCTTTTGCTTCCTGTATTTGCTTATGTAGCTCTTTATCAAAATTATCTTTTGCTGCCTGTGTTTGTTCTCTTATATCATCCGTTAATTCACAGAACATTTTAATTATGTGCATCCTAAACTCCTCTTCTGACATTTCTTCTGTTGTGCCAGCCATGGATTCTAATAATATACTATCTTGATTTATTTGGGCACCTTTTTCCTTGTTTTTTTCATGTTGTTTGTGTGTCTTCCCTTCTAGCACTGTGGATCCAAGGTATTCCTTTTTTTACTCTATAAGTTTATAGTATCCCTGCAGGGTTCCAATAACTCTCCTTTGAGGGAAAGAACAGTATTAACAGATCCCAATACAAACAATATATAACCTTAAACCAAATAGATGCTATTAAGACATTTACAGTTTTGCCACAATAGATAGAAATGGTGAGTTAATCATTATCTACAATATGAACAGTAGGTTTTCAAGTGGGTTTACAGTTTCTGATGGTGGACATAGAGCTGGGTGTGAGGTATAAGGATGAGATGTTGAGGGGATAGGAGGTGAGGATACAGAGTTATTACATCTTAGGAAATGTGAAAGAGGAATCTAAAGAAGATAGTATAAGAGAGGGTATAAGTTTCAGAGGCTTTCCTTGGACTTGCTGTCCTCCTCCTTCACCCTCTGCCTTTCTAATTCCTAATTGGGACTTTTCTCTCCAGAGGTCTTGTGGGTTGCACTCTGGGGGCTGCGCTTCTATCTTGGAGAGCTGTTTTGCATTGGGAAGTCACTCTGAGGAGTTAGCGGTGCCAGGGGGAGGAGGGAGTTGGGGACTACTGGTACCTGCCTAGCCTGTGTTCCAAGCTGGGAGTTGCCCCAACTAAAGATGGTGATGAAGGTGTCCCAAGCTGGTGACAGCTGATTTCTGTGATGGAGTGTCTGGTCAGGTGGGGGTGCAGGGTGGGGGGCGTTGGGCAATGTATTCAAAGATGCAGCTCTGTGGCATGCAGTGTTGTCGCTGTCAGCTGTCTCCAGACTGAGTGTGGGGATCTGTTGATGGCAGCGGGGCTGTCCTGGTCCTGCCTATATACCACTGGTGCGGGCAGGCTGTCCTGGACCTGCCTGGGCTCCGCGGGTGTCAGTGGGGTTGTCCTGGGCCTGTCTGTGCTCCTCCCCAGCCCTTTTTAATATTTTATTTAGAGACAGGGTCTCCCTGAATTGCTTAGTGCTTTGCTAATCTTCTGAGGCTGGCTTTGAACTTGAGATCCTCCTGCCTCAGTCTCCAAAGTTGCTGGGATTATAGCATGTGCCACTACGCCCAGCTCTTCTGCATTCTTAAACAATGAAATGTAGTTAAATACTGTTTTTATGTCCTTATATACTCATTTTATCATTGAAGACATTGCTGGACTATTGTTTTTGCTTGATTCTTTTCCTTTTTCATGTGTGTTGCATTTTTTTTGTATGCCTGGTAGTTTTGAGTGTGTGTATAATCACTGTGGTACTGGGAATTGAACCTATGCCCTTGCATATGCTAGGTAAGTGGTCTACTACTGAGCTATATTCCCAGCCCTTTTTTATTTTTTATTTTGGGACAGGGTATAAGTTTCAGAGGCTTTCTTTGGACTTACTGTCCCCCTCCTTCAGCCTCCTGAGTAGCTGGGATCATAGGCAGGTGTCACCTTGAATAACTAGAAATTTTTTATTAGATAGATGCCAGATATCATGAATTTTACTTTGTTGGCTGCTTCTATTAAAAAAAAAAAGAATTCTTGGGTTTTGTTTCAGAACAGTAAAGGTACTTGGAGACATTTTTTATTCTTTTCAAGGTTACCTTTATACTTCATTAAACAATTATAGTAGCCTTTAACATTTCCCCCACCCCTTATTTTTTAATATAGGGTCTTACTGTATTGTCAGTGCTGATCTTGAACTCCCAAACTCCCTCCTGAGTGCTGGGACTGCAGGCATGCACCACTATGCCTAACTAAGGCTTACTTTCCCCCACTGCTTAAGTAATACATTTCTGAGTGTGCTAAGATCTTATATTTTACAAGGATATTTTGCCTCATTGGTAGAAACATCAACTATTTCCAGCCTTATTTGAGCCTTCTATATTGTTCCATCAATTCCTTTTGTGTGATTCTTTTACTAGCTTTGGGCAATTTCACATGTGTGTACTGATTAGTATTACTGGGTCCACCTTCATTTCCCCCTTTGATGCTTCATCCTGGAAATGCTATGCAGGTTATAAATTGGGCTTTAATAATATTTACTTCCATTATTTCCCTTCTCCATTTCCCTCCTCTACTGCCTGTTCTATAATGCCTAAAAACTTGTTTCATGTTCTCTCCTAGTTTTAATCACTTAAGATGAGATAGTAAGTATAACCCTTGTTATTCTATGACAACCAAAGTTCAGACCATGTATCCTTAATTACAATAATAGAGAATGCCATTCACAAAAAGCATAGTGGAACATGACAGATTTTTGGAGTAGAGACTAATTGCCTAGTATCAGGTCCTTTATAACTGTTATTTACTTTTCTTTTTTTTATTAAACTTAATTCATACAATCTTTAAGTTGGTATGAGAACAGCTCTCTCTTATCATAATGGGGCAAGAAAATTTAGTATTCCTTTAATATCTATTCTTCCCCCTTTTTGCTAACCAGAAAAATCTCTGTTATTGAAATGTCATGTTCAATTTTCTATATATATTCTTAAAATAAGAGAGAGTAACCTGCTTTGTTCTTTCCTCTTTTCTGCTAGCTAGAATTTGAGGTGATAGTTATAGCTTAAACAGCCATTTGGATCCTGACAAGGAAGCCTTGTATTGGGAATGCAAGGTGGAAGGTTCCTGGGTTCTTAATGCCATTGTGAAGCCACATACTATATATTTCATTTTTTCTGTTTTTGTTGCTGTTGTTGGCCAAAGGAAAAATTAACTTTGTCTTTTTTTGGCTGTTGCTGTTGTGTCGTTGTTGTTGTTTGTTTGTTGTACTGGGGATTGAGCCTAAGGGCGCTTTATCACTGAGATACATCATCAGCCCTTTTTATTTTCTGTTTTGAGACAGGGTTATACTAAGTTGCCCAAGCTGGTTTGGAACTTGGAATTCTTTTGCTTTAGCCTTTTAAGTGTTTGGGACTATAAGAACATGTCATTGTACCCAACTAACTGTTGCTGTTTTAAATATTCCTTCGTTCATGATTGACATTAACCCTACTATAAACTTGTGTTTATAGCAGTACAATTTACGATAGCCAAACTATGAAACCAGCCTAGGTGTCCATCAATAGATGAATGGATAAAGAAATGTGGTATATGTACACAATGTAATTTAATTAAGTCATAAAGAATGAAATCATGTCATTTGCAGGAAAATAGATGCAACTTGAGACTATTGTGTTAAATGAAATAAGCCAAACTCAGAAGGTCAAGGGTTATATGTTTTCTTTCATATATAGAAGCTAGAGAGAAAAAAGGAAAAGAAAGGTGTTGAGGGTGGTGGTGCTGAATCTCAAAGGGCGATTAGTGGAATAAAGGAAAGGGACCAGGAGGTATTAGGAAGGGATAGAGGAGGAAAGTGCAGGGGTGTGATATTGGCCAAATTATATTGTTATATTTTGTGCATGTACAAATATATTACAACATATCCCACCATAAGGTGCAACTATAATGCAGCAGTTTTAAAAATGTGGAAAAAATTTAATTGAAGCTAACCCTAACTGAGTCCACAAGGAAGAAGTAAGAAAGGAAAGGGGCAGCTATTGAGTATTGTATTTTTCATTTACCTCTCCCAGGCCTATAACATCTCAAGTTATTTCAAGAGAATATTACAGTTTTATTTATTTATTTTTAAATTTTTTTTTAGTTGTAGATGAACACACAGTATCTATTTCTGTGTGGTGCTAAGGATGGAACCCAGTGCCTCACACATGCAAAGCAGGCACTTTACCACTGAGCTACAGCCCCAGCCCTTCATATTACAGTTTTAAAATCTCATTTTATTATCTAGTTTGATGCCTTTAGCATCTATTAGTGGGTAGGCTAAGAGTATGGTCCTATTTTAGAGATGAGAAACTTAAACTTAGAATGGTGCATTGACTGAAAAACAAAAGCAAAAAAACAGCTCAAGATTGGTATAAAAGGTAGAATCTTCTATTCCAAAATACAATATATTATCCTTGATTGTAAATAGATTTTCTTATCCATTTGCCTTTTATAGAATTTTCTGTAGAATGATGGGATTGGATATATTAAGGAGCTATATTAGGTTCTGACTGTTTTATTTGTCCTTCCAGCAAAAAGGTGAATCATGCCTAAGAAGGTTAACAAAATTAAGCCTGTGAGAAGGAACACAGGAAGGATCATAGGAAGGAGCACAAGAAGGATTACAAGAAGGAGCACAAGAAGGATTACAAGAAGGAGCACAAGAAAGAACACAATACAAAAACTGAAAGACTATAATAGTAGGATTAAACGTATCTTCAATCACAAATGCTATGTCACCTTCCTTACTGGCTGCTACAGTTACGACTGGGAATACAGACATTGGAAAAAAACTGAGATTGGATCCTGTTGCTGCTCCCGGGTACAGAGAGATAAGAAGGAGTTGAAGCATACTTTCTTTAAAGTGGGAAACATGGGATACCCCCTGGCTGTAGATGACTCTTTGAAGTCTTCAGAACTGGGGATGCTGAGGAACCAGTTCTTCCAAAAAAATCCTATGCAGATTCTGGAGCCAAAGTTTAACTCACTGAAGCATGTACTTGCTGTCTTCTTTTTCTTTCACTTTTGTTCTTTTTTTGGTTTGTGCTGCTAGAGATCAAACTCAGGGCCTCCCACATGCTAGGCAAATACTCTGCCCTTGAGCTACATCTCAAACTTTCACTTTTATTCTTTATTTTTCCTTTCCTTTTTTATGCTATTCATTTATTCATTCATTCACTTTTACATTTATTCATTCAGTGAACTTTGAAGAAAAAGTGAGCTTTGGGTGCAATTATATATTTTTGGCTAGAGATTACAGGAATGCCTGAATCTTTTTTTAATTTAATTTTATTTTTCTTATTTATATATGACAGTGCAATGCATTACAAATTTTTAATTGATTTTTTTTAAAAATAAATGACAACGGAATACATTACAATTCTTATGACACATATAGAGAACAATTTTTCATATCTCTGGTTATATACAAAGTATATTCATACTAATTGGTGTCTTCATACATGTACTTTGGATAATAATGATAGGAATGCCTGAATCTTTAATTCTCTTTTCTCTGCAAATTTCCAAGGGGAAGTATACTCATGAGAAAAACACTCAGTAATTAGGAAACCAAAGTGCTTCTTTATTATTGGTCAAGTTAATGCTTTATTTTCCTTAATGAAGAACTCTACTAAGTCTCAGTGATAGCTTGTGGCCTGGCCTCTTGGAAGGCCACTTTTTTCCCCACTTTTATTTCTAAGTCATATATTTGAACCCTTTGGTGGACTAAATGATATAGGAGATCAAATGATGAGCATATTGAAGTGAGAAAAGGGCCAGATCATGTACCTTCATTTGCTTGTAAATAAGGTTAAACTAGGGTCCAAGAACCTGACCAAGGGATCTCTAATTTGTTCTGCTTGGCATGTGAAGCACAAGGAAAGAGGTAGGAAATTGGAGACATCCCTGGAGTAGACTGGAAGTAGGTTCTGTCCCCTGTATCTTTCATACCCAGATACTTGGCTTCCACCTAGTCACAGGGGATACCAAAAGTACTTACTACTCTCAAGGAATTCATATTCTAATGGGGGAAAGTCAAGTATACAGAGTTTTGGTATAGCAAGATAAGTGCTATAATTGTGTGTGTATGTACTTAGGCATATTATCAAGGGAGAGACCAATAATTTTATTTAGAAGGCAAAAGTGATTAAGAATTGGATAGGTGAAGAATTGGAGATTATAGAAGAATTGATATTGAAGAAGGAGTCAAAGGACATGCTGAGTTTGCAGATTGATAGATTTATTTTAGGTGGATCAGAAGTGTATGGAGAAATGATGGGAAATGAAATTAGAGAGGGAGATGGATCAGATGTTGTATGGTTTTAAGAATTTGACCTCTATCATATGGAAAATAAAGAGTGACTAAACAGGAACTGGGGTATAGTTCAATGGTAGAACATGTGCTTAGCATGCCTGAGACCCTGAGTTTGATTCCCAGCACCAGAGGGGGAAAATAACCTTAAAATTTTAACCTGATAATATGTTATGAGCTATATTTTTAAATGACTATTTGAATGTTTGAAGGACATATTAGAAGGGACAAAATTAATACAGAAAGGCTCTTCACCTTCAAAGAAGAAATAACAGCAGTATTTCAAGTAAGAGATGTTGGCAGCCTAGATTAGAGTAGTGATGATAAAGATGGAGATAATGGGTAGAGCCCTACAAATATTTATTACTTAGAAGTGAGGTAGAAATTCACATGAGAACTATAAAGAAGGACATAGAATAAAAAATAAGGAAGGCTTCATGGAAAAAGTAACATTTGAGGCTGTACGGTATAACAGAAAAATCCCTAGACCAGAGTCCAGGAGTGTGTTATGGGTCCTAATTATGATTCTGTCCTTGGATTGGTTATCTCTGAGCTTCTCTTCAGCTAGGGAATTGAATTAGTTAACTATCAAGATCCCTAGATGATTTATAAGTTCCTTTTCTCTCAGAGGAACAAATATAGCATATAGAATGAGTGTAATAAGATATTGTATCCTAAGGAAAGATTCTCAGATTCAGTTTATGGTTTCACTATTGAGTACTCATATCCAGATTAGAATTCCACCATTGTGGGAATGTGAGCAAGTTCATTAATATCTCAGTGCTTCAGAATCTTTCTTAGAATAATGAAGATAATAACAATAGGATCCACCTATTTGTTTTTATAGTGGAAGAGGTAATAGGTGGGAAATATTTCCAGTTGGGCTTGGCACATAACACTCAGTAAGTGTTAGTTATTATTATAGCTGTGATTGGAGTCATTAGCTTGTGGAAGTGACATATAGAAATGATGGCACAGGGGATTCTGAATGAAGGGAATAAGATGAGTAAAAGTCCAGAGATAGAGAAGTATAGTGGTGTATTTAGGGAAAGAGTGACTTTCTGGTGTTGAATTTAGAGATGTATAAGGGAGTAAAAAGTAGGTGTGGAAAAGAGTATTTTTTTAATGTCCAGCTAAAATACTTGAACATTATCCTATAAGTAGTGGTGAGCCTTTGAAAGTTTTGAGCCAGAGTGGTCACATTGAAAATTTAAAAATGGAAATAGATTTATTTAACAAAAAAATTATTTAACACTTTCAGTAATTGAGATAGAGGGGCTGGGGTTATAGCTCAATGGTAGAGTGCTTGCCTAGCATGTGTGAGGCACTGGGTTAGATCTTCAGCACCACATAAAAATTAATAAAAGTAAAGGTATTGTGTCCATATACAACTAAAAAAAAAAGAAGAAGAATTGAGATAGAGTAGGCCCCTGGACCTCCCTGCAGCTTAAATCTCAATAGAAGAATTAGGGAATAAACAATAAGTGAAGAAGAATGCTTTAAGATAGTATCAAGAGCTTTCAAGATGCCACAGTAGGACATTGTGTTAGAAACTGGAATGGAAGGTGGTTGAGTCAATATGTATATTGTGGTTGTATTTGGGTATTAGGGAGCAAAAGTATCTAGGCAGAGGAACTATTAAGTAAAAAGCTCCTAAGTAGGAACAAATTTGGTTGTGTGAGAAACATGCATCTAGAAGGAATCAGCATGTGTAATGGAATGAGGTGGGGAATGGTCAAGGGCTTATCAGGTAAGACCTTGTGGGCCATGGAGGGCAGTTTAGGTCATACTCTTTTTTCATCCCCCATATGAGAGATTGAACTGAGGGCCTCATTTGTGCTAGGCAAGTGCTCTACCACTGAGCTACATTCTTGGCCCTTTTTATTTTGAGACATGGTTTCACTAAATTGCCCAGGCTGGCTTTGTGGCCCTCCTGCCTCAGTCCCCAAGTAGCTGGGATTACAGGTGTGGGTGACCATGCCCAGTGGTGATATTCTAATACAATCGGAAGCTCTGGGAGAGTTTTGAGTTGGTGAGTGATGTTATGTTTTAACAAGTTTTTAAAAGTCCATGCAAGATTGGTGTAGAAAATGTGTTTAGGACCAAAGTCAACTCTGTGTTGTTCATCCTTTTACACTCAGATACCCCTGAGGTCTCACTTCAACTTTTTCAAATGCCCTTTCTGTTATCCATTTTGTTTTATTTTTTATTCTTACTCCCTCGGGTTTTAGAATTATTATGTTTTCAACAGATTAAACATAGAGTTAAAAGAAGTGGAATTGCTTACTTATTTTATCAGAGGCACTTAAGATTATAACTCAGCAATCTCAGGAAGGATTTAACAGTCTGTGGCTGCTGGTTTGTAATATGGTTTTCAGTGTTGGGAGTTGCCTTCAAGACTTAGTTTGGATCCTCCGCTATAAAGATAATCCTCAGTTCTGGCTTTGAGCTCACACAAATCTGGGTTCTAGTCCTGCTCCTGTCACTTCCTAGCTATTTTATCTTAGCTAATTATTTTACCTCTCTGAGCTTTCTTCTGTAAAATATCTAATTCGTGTGATTTTTAGGAGAAATAAATCAAGTGAAAGTAGCTTATGAAGTCCTAATGATCCTCAAAAAAGTACTAATTTCCTAACTCTGATTTCTTTATTGCACTCCAGAGTGGGTAGATAAATGACTACATGCAATGATGAATAATGAATGAATCACCAAACAAATATTTGGTAGATGGAGAGGTGACAAGCCTCTGAAAGATGATTGTGGAGAGCCAGCTACATTCAAGAAACTATGCTAGATATTGGCAAAACTGAGATGTGTTAGATAAGTTCCTTTTCTTAAAAGAAGATAGTATAACATCAGAAACAAAAAATAAGCATGTAACTAAAGTTCAGTGTGATAAATGTTATAAGAAGGTGGAGGTAAAAATCAAAAGGGTGGTTATTCCAACGTGGGGTGGGTAATACATGCCACTCAACTATACTTGACCTTTGTCAAATGTATACAGAAATCACTGAGGTAATGATAAATGGAGCTAAAGGACTTTTTTCTTTTTCCAGAGAGAGCAATTCTTTCACGTGTTCCTGATAATTTCATTTTTATTGTCTGTGATTTTGCTGTTCGTGTGGGTAGAGACCTCCAATGAATACTTTAGCTTTGACTGGTGAGTTTTACTTTTTGTACTTTTACTTATGTAAGAGCTCTTTGATCTTATAGCCAACTGGATTCTACCTTAGGTTGAAAACATCTGACATAGTAGGGAGGGTGGACAAAATTAGACTTCCTCATCTTGTGGGTAAGAGACCTGACTCTGGGACAGGAGTAGGATGCTTAATAGCACCCTAACCTATTCTATTTCCCTTCTACCTCAGTCTCACACTGAAGACCAAATCTGGCTCAGTGGGAACTTTTCTCTGTGCTTCCAGTGTCCCTAAGTCCTTCTTAGTTAATGATTCTCTGTCATCTTAGTCTCTTTGTTTGGGTTACTGAGCTAACACTATTTGGTCCTCATGATCTCCGCCCCTGAACCCTGCCTTCTCTTCTTCTCCTACAGCCTCTCCCTCCCTTAGGGACCTCCTGGAATTCTGAACACAGGAACAAGTGTCCCTTCTCAGCCCCCTTTCATGGTTGAACTCCCACTCCTGGACTGCTCCCAGACTAGTTTTTCTGGCCTGCTGCCTTCTAACATTGTAGTAAACATTATCCATTATGTAGTATTTGAGGGAGAAGGTTGTATTTGGGTATGAGGCTTTTTAAAAAATAATTTATTTTCTTTTTATAGAAGGAAATACGGTTTTTTGTTTTAAATGTTAAAAATGCAAAAAATTAGAAAATATCTGCTCAGCCACATTGTTGAATGATAGTCATTTGGTATATATTTTCTAGCCTTTTTTCTGTGTTTATTTTTATATTCTTAGGTTCATACTATTTATATAATTTTGCTTTCCTTTTTCACTTAAAATAATCATAAACATTTTAACAAATTATTAGAACTTTCAATATACATCATTCAAAGTGGTTTCAGAATATTTCATGACATGAAGATGCTAATATACTTATTTAGCTATCTGTTGTTAGGCATTATGAATGTTTCTAGTGTTCTTGTCTTGATAAAATAATAACAGAAATTTTCATATTCTGACTAATGTTCTTAGACTAGATTTCCACAAGTGACATTATTAAATCAAAGACAGTGTTTACTGTTAAAATTCATTATGCCCATTGTGAAAGTGTTTACTCAAAAGGTTATAGCTTATTCCACTTAAATCAGAGGTATGTGACAGTTTCTTTTTTCATCTGTCAGTGGCAGTTTTAAATAATTGAATTTTGATTACTTTTAATTTTCTTGATGGATTTATTTCTATTTTGCTTTAATTTGAATCATTGAGTTTCAAAAACTAGTTTATTTAACTTCTTTTGTTTGTTTGTTTTTGTTTTTGCAGTAGTGAGGATTGAATCTAGGGCTTCAGTCTTTCAAGGCAAGCACTCTACCACTGAGCCTTTAAAAAACATTTTATAATTCTGAAACAAGATCTTACTGAGTTGTCCAGGCTAGGCTGGGATTTATGATTTCCTGCTTCAGCCTCCCAAATAGCTTGGATTACAGGTGTGTGCCACCATGCCCAACAATACATTTTCTTTTTATATTTTTCTTCCTTTGCCCAATTATTCTTTAGGGGACTTCAGTAAGTTTGTTTTTATCAGTTTATATACAATCTTCACTTATGAACTAGTTCTGAATTGTTCCCCAACACTTGTTTTTCAATTTTTATTTGTGCTTATAAATTTAAAAATATTTGGCACTGAGATCTATGCATCCATAAATGACAAAGTTTGTACAAAATATAATATCCAAAACTTTTTGATTCTCTTCCCATCCTTTGCATAGAATTTAGGTCCTGAAGCTTTGCATAGCAAAAATAGTATGATGGTGGTGAGGGGAACCTCTGGTCATCAATCTACGATGGTCACTTTTGGTCATTGTTATTTTTGTTACACAGTGCTCTAGTTAAGAACTAGTCCATAGTCAATTTTTGGAATTGCTATTCCAGGTGTGGTATAAAATTGTTTCTTACAGCAGGCTTTTCTATTGACCATAAACACAAAGGAAACCCTCACCCAAGACTGAGATGCTCCTTGGCCAACTTCTATAATTTTCCTTGCCATCATTCCCACTGTGATCATCTACCTCCAGAATGCAAAGTAAAAGTTGGAACAATTTAAATATTAATGAAGTCTTCAATCTTAGTGAAATTTATTCTTTGTATTTTTACAGTAGGCATATTCTTACTTTCTTCACATTTTTATTTTGAAAGTAGTCATTTTATATGATACTAATTTATTCATACTAGCTTTGCATGGTTATTTTTTCTAAATTTTTGCTTTTTAACTTTTTTATATTCTATGTTTTAGAATTTTCTCTTATAAATAGTATATGGTTGAGTTTCTCAAATCTAATTTGGTAATATTTATCATTTATGTTCCAAATAAAACAAATCTTCGTAATAATATTTGAGCTTATAATCATAATCTTTCTGTCAGTTCTGTATTATTTCTTTCTTCTTTTTTGTGTTATTTGTACTAAATATTTATTTTATTTTTTTCCTTTTTAAGTTCGAAGGTATATCCACATTTTTACCGTATCCACTCTTGAAGTCTTTTTTTGTACTTACCTTAAAAATTATAACGTATAGTTTTGACTTATTGAAATATAATATTTCTAGTGTTTTAGCCTTCTTATGGATAGTACAAAGATCTTGAAACAACTTAACCTCATTTGCCTCCTTCTGATTTATAAGCCATTATCATCTTGTATTTTAATCCTACAATCCTACCTACATTTTCAACAATATGACATATTCACTTACATGAATCTATGCATTTACCTTTTTATTGCTCTTTATTTCATTGTGCATCTCTGTTTTTTTTTTTTTTTTTTGGTACTGGGGATTGAACTCAGGGGCACTCAATCACTGAGCCACATCCCTACCCTATTTTGTATTTTATTTAGAGACAGGGTCTAACTGAGTTGCTAGTGCCTTGCTTTTGCTGAGGCTGGCTTTGAACCTGTGATCTTCCTACATCAGCCTCCTGAGCCACTGGGATTACAGGCATAAGCGACTGTGCCCAGCTGTGATCTTTTGTGTAAGCTTTTCTTTCTTTTTTTTCTTTTTCCTGTATGAAAAACATCCCTAGAATTTCTTTTAAAAAGAATTTTCTGGGGATAGTTTTTCTCAGTTTCTGTTTTTGTGAAGATGGCTTTATTTCATCTTTATCCTTGAAATATATCTTAGATGGGTATAGAATTCTTTGTCTTCTTTTCTTTTTTTTTAATTTTTATTTTATTTTTTGCAGTGCAGGGGATTAAACCAGGGCCTCATGCATGCAAGGTTAGTTCTCTGCCACTGAGCTATCACCCCAGCTTGTGGGTATAGAATTATAATTTGGCAGTTTTTGTTTTTTAGAACTTTGAATCTCTTATTTTGTTATCTTTTTGCTTTAATTATTTCTCTTGAGAGATCTGCTCTTAGTTTATTTTTGATCTTTTGAAGGTAATCTGTTTTTTATTTGCTCACTCTTAAGAATTTTCCTTTTAATTGATTTTTGGCAATTTTACTATGATGTGTATAAGTGTGGTTTTCTTTCTTTTTTTAAAATATTTTTTTTAGTTGTAGATGGACACGATATCTTTCTTTTATTTATTTATTTTTATGTGGTGCTGCGGATCAAACCTAGTGCCTTACATGTGCTAGGCAAGCACTCTACCACTGATCTATAGCCCTAGCACATGAGTATGGTTTTCTTTGTTCTTATTCTGCTTGAAATTCTCAGAGCTTCCTAAACCTGTGGTTTGATGTCTGTGGTGAATTTCTCTTGTCACCTTAGCTATGCTGGACCTTCATTTATCTTTCCTGTATAGTTTCAATTTCAAGAGAAATTGGCACAAGATTTGGAAAGAAGAAGCAAGGCAGCAGCCATTTTTTATATGCTTAAAGATCGAAGAAGAGTAATAAGCATATGGTAGCACACATACATTATTTCCCACATCACAAATTGGGGTGGGAGAACATCTGGATTTGAAACTTCCCCAACATCCTCTATGTCTTTTCTTAAGCCTGAATCTTGGACCAAGTTTTCATCCAACTTCATCCAAAGAGTGCTGGATTCTGTAAGTTGCTCATGCCTTTGAGGCTTGAGGTGGTTAAGAGTCAGTCACCGGGTTGAATTTGTCCTATGGGTTCCAAGTCATCTGTGGAGATTCAGTTTTTCCTTGTTTTCCCTAATTTCACATCTAGCTTTTCTTCTGGAGTGCCAATCTGACTAACATACGGTGACTTAAGGCCCAACACCAAATGTAGGGATGACTTCTGTAATACAGATTTCTCTGTAAATTCTCATAATTGTGTTAAGTCTAATCCTTATAACATCTTATTCTGTATTACTCATAGTGGCTCTGTTTCTCTGATCAAACTCCTAAAGATATAGAAATTGTGCTGGGTGAAGTGGCACATGCCTGTAATCCCAGCAGCTTGGGAAGCTGAGGCAGGAGGATCACGAGTTCAAAGCCAGCGTCAGCAACGATGAGACACTAAGCAACTCAGTGAGACCCCATATCTAATAAAATACAAAATAAGGCTGGGGATGTGGCTCAGTGGTTGAGTGCCCCTAAATTCAATACCTATTACCAAGAAAATGAAAAAAAAGAAATTATTATCCATAAGGATGGGTTCTCTAAGTTGATTCTGAAATATCTAGAATTGATTCTCTGATTTTATTAAATTTAAGAGCCTTGTTTCCAGTGATAAAGCAGACAGTGGTTATCTATGACATGCAGTAGTATTTATTTATTTATGTATGGCACTGGGGATTGAATCCAGGGGTTACTTACCACTATTCTACATCTGCAAGCCCTTTTTAATTTTTTTTTAGTTGTAGATGAACACAATACCTTTTTAAATTTATTTTTATGTGGTGCTGAGGTTCAAACCCAGTACCTCACACTTGTTAGGCAAGCACTCTACCACTGAGCCACAATCCCAAATCCCAGCCCTCTAGCCCTTTTTATATTGAGACAGGGTCCTGCTAAGTAACCTGAGCTGACCTGAACTTGCAATCCTCCTGCCTCAGCCTCCTGAATGGCTGAGATTATAGGCATGCACCACT